CTCAGATTTATCGGGGAGAAATATTTTCTGAATTGGTCTCTCTTAGTGGTGACACCAGGGTCGCGAACGTCTTGGGGATGACAGAGTGTACTGCATAGGTGTTGGTTGCTTGTTAACAGTTTGGGCTGGAAAATTAGGTCGGGGGAAGCCATTCCTATTCTGTCAAGAAATTAGGTGTCGGCTATTCATCTGAATCACCCGGAGGTACTTGTTAGTGCGCCATTGACAGGGCATGAAAATGTGGATTCTTTGATTGACTAGGAGACAGGGGAGTTGTGCTCGGTGTGTTTGAGGACTACCTTTCCACCTGATACTAAGCGAGTAATTAAAGAGATTCTTTTACCGAGGGATCCGCAGTGTGATTGCCTGGTATGGCGTGTGGACCCTTCGGGGGAGCATACAATTAAGTCTACGTATAGCTTGGCGGATAGGTTGAGCTGAGCTACAGGGCGGTGGTAGAATGAATGTGACTTGGTCAATAAGCAGTTCTAGATCAAAATATGGGATCTTTCCATTCGGCTAAATCTTAAGTTCTTTGTATGGCAGGTGTTGAAGTGAATTTTGCCTACTACAGAGGCGTCGAGGGAGCATGAGATTCCACTGTTAGCTCAATATCTGGTTGCTGGGCAGAGATGGAGACCATTGAGCATCTTGTCTTCTCCTATTAAGTGGCAAGACATTATGGGCTAAGGCTAGCATGGAATAAGAAATACGTGAGCTACCTTAGAGGTGCTTTGCTATCTTTTTTCGTCGCCTCCTTGGACAGGATTCTTCAGATCCGAAGGTGGTTTGCATTATCTGTGTCCTTTGGTGGATTTGGAAGTCTCAAAAATTCGTGGTTTTGAAGGTCACAATTGACCTTGTTAGTGCTAGGGCATAAGCTCGTGGAATGGATGGAGGAATGGTTAAGGAAGGGGGCTTGCGATTGGGAGCATGCAGGGTGTCTTGCCTCTGATTAATCTCTATGATCTAGGACATATGGTGTGTTCCTTTGATGGCGCATTTTGTGCGGGATCTCATGGGGCAGGGCTTGGTAATCTCTGATAGTGCGGGGGAGGTAGTCTTGGCCAAATGTGTTACTTTTTATGGTCTTTTTCGATTCGATGTTGGTGGAATTGGCAACACATAGGGACGCTGTCAAATGTTGTAATGAGATTGTCGTCATTCAAGTTCGTGTTGAAGGAGATGCAATGACGTTATTGATAAGTGCGGGTTATTTCAGGGCCTCTTATGTAACCTTTTGTTTTCTTGATAATGCAAGAGATATTTTCATCAATAAAGAAAAGATTTATCTATTTATCTTTGTTTCATCTACAAGATTACTAATATCATAATGTGTGAAATATTTTGTAATGATAAATCTTTCAACACTAAAATTTTGATTTTTATACAAAAAAATTGACTTTTTTCATTAAATAAGATTACCTTCGATTACACAATTATGATTATCTATGTACTATAATTATTCATTATGATTATCTATTTATTAATTTATTTTAGTAATAAAAAACGAGTTACCATTTAAAAAAATAAAATAAAATAAATAAAACTTTGAGAAAAGAACCACAAATAGAAAATGCTTGAAATAAGAAAATGGAGCGCCATATTAATGAGTTTGTCTATAAGATTATTTTCAAGATCATGAAGAGAGGAGGACAATGTTTTTGCCTCATTATTTCTTCAGGATAGAATGCTTTCATCTAGGAGCGCTAGATTGTAGATAATATTCTTATTGGGCATGATGTTCTAGGTGGAGCAAGTCTATGGGGTTGTTTGCTTTCATGGATTTGAAAATCAAGGTTTTCTAATTTAAAAAATCAAGGATTTGTTAGAGATTTGTTGCATTACGGATTTGGGAAGAGTCCATTATTTGCTTAGTTGATTTGATCATGGATTTATGGGTTATGGATTTATATCTTTAGGATGTATATTACCTAACTACCCTTCTTCATGTTAGATTTATATAACTTTACTTGTGTTTCTAATTTTATTCTTGTGGTCATATTGTTAATTTGTGCTTTTAAATTGATATTTTATAGCAAGCTCGTAAAATTAGTAGCCACGAGATATTAAAATGTGTAGATAATCACAATATATAGTTGTAATCTTACAATTTTTGGCTAACATTTGTTTGTTAGAATTACTATTTTAACAACAAATGTAGTTTGTAGCTAAAGGGTATTACTTGCCATCCAAATCAAAATTTGAATCAAAATACTCATACGTTTATCGCAAAATAAATGTGTGACAAAGACCTTCAAAAATAGCCATGATGAATAAATTATGTAGTCATTAGCATGTTATTAGCTTATGGCATAGATTATGTAGTCATTAGCATGTCATTAGCTACAGTATTACTTTCATGGCTAAGTTTATAGCTATAAGAGGCAATTGTAGTAGTGCAAAGAATAACTAATGACAGGTAAAGTTGGAATAAATAAATTATAAAGGGATATATAAGTCATTTTTATGAAGGATTTGTTCCCTTCTTCAAATCCCAAGTAAATAGGTGGGATTTACAAATCTGTAGGGCCCACGAATTTGGAGCCCCAAATCAGTGGACCCCAAGGATTTGGTACCCTCCATTTTGGCTCAACAAACAATGGTTTTGGACAAATCCTTCATGTGTTGGATTTAAGAACCAAATCCCACATCCATGAAGCAAACGACCCCTATGTTAAGTAGCGAGTTGGGTGTTGGGAAAGGGGGGCCCGAGGCAGTCGCCGAAGCCACACTTGTTGATGTGGCGAGCGAAAGCCCTTACAGGGAAAAAAAGAAATGAGGTTATGCACTACCTTAAGATCAAGTGCAAAGGCAAGAAATGATACATAGCTCTGAAGTTTGATATAAAAAACGCATATGGTAGAGTCGAGTAGCCTTTCTTGCTTGCAATCTTCAATCAATTAGGGTTCAGTCTCCTATGAATTAGTTGGATTAAGGAGTGTATCACGACACCCACTTTTCCGGTCCTTATGAATGGTAAGGCTGTCAGATTTTTCAAATCGACTAGAGGGCTACGACAGACTGATCCTTTATGACCTCTTCATTTTTTACTATTTACCAAAGGATTTGTAGTCTTAATACGGTAGGCGATATAAAATAGGCGATTGTAGGGTGTGAGAGTGAGCGCTTAAACTCCACGGGTCTCGCATATGTTGTTTGAGGATGACTTTTACCTCTTTCTAAGAGGCTCTCTCTAGATGTGTGTGAACCCCATTTGGAGGTTTTATAGAAGTATGAACCCATTAGTAGGCAACAAATAAATCTAGAAAAATTTGTTGTATGTTTCAATGAGGATAACCCCACTGAGATTTTCAAATTCGTGGGGTCAATAAGCCCACTGAGATTCCTATTCAATGATGATATCCCAAATATGTCTCACAGACAAAGCTAAATTCCAAGTATAAATGTCCCTCCCTAACCTCCTTCAACTTCAGGGCAGGTTAAGAACTGCCATGCTACCACTGCTTTCTTCCTCAAACCTTCACCAACTCTCCACAAAAATTATTACACAAATTCTCAATCTCCTTGATCATTTTCTTTGGCAGAATAAACACTACCATCTAGAACTAAGTCAAACTGTACAAAACATAAAGAATTAGTTCCAGGCAGCCTGCATAACTCAGTACTCTAGCATTCCGTCCATGTATCCTAGCTGTCAACTTCTCAATAAGTGGTCGAAAAAAAATTGATTGTTAATTTTAGAATAATCGAAAGGTACACCCAAATATCAAACTGGATTTTTACCCAATTTATACCCTACTCTAGAAGCCAATTCTTTCTACCATTCAAGAGGGAGACCACCATAAAATATTTCACACTTTGAAGGATTATAAGCCAGACCAGACATAATACTAAATTTATCAAGAACTCTTTGAACACACTAGACCCTAAAATTCGATCCATCAGAGAAAATAAGCAATTCGTGAGCAAAACATAAATGAGTAAATGCTAACCTCTTACAAATAGTACGAAAAGAGAGATCGTTCATTAACACAACTTTCTTCATTAGATAGGAGAAAACTTTCATCAAAATAGCAAAAAGACAATGTGACTAGGGATGGCAATGGGGCGGGTTTGCCTAAACCATCTCCATCCCCGCTTTCAAATATTCAAACCCATACCCATGCGGGAGAAGGATTTGCAAACCCATCCCCATACCCGTGGGTTTTTGGTACCCATGGGTAATACCCGCCCCGTACATCCTACATTATAATAGCTAAAATTTTACATACACAAATTTCAATTATAATACTAAACGCACTTACTATTTCATAAAGTCGATAAAGAAACAATCATTCTTAATACTATTCTAAGCATCTGATTCTAAAACATCCAATAATCCATAAGATAGAGTAACAATATAAGCCAAATCATTATTCTCTGACTTTGGTACATCTATTAAGTAATAAATAACTTACTAACATAATGTTGTAAACATGAGGGAAAAAGTCAAAGAATGAAGGAAGATTTGGAGGAAATGAATTATGTTTTGATTTAGGTGGTCACTCAATTGTATTTCTACTATTTATTTTCATGAGTTAGCCTTGCTATTAATGATAGATTACAATTTAATTAATGTACATTTTATATGTGAAGAAATTTTTTTGGTGGGGCGGGTATGGGTATGGGTCGGGGGAGGCCAAACCCATACCTATCGAACTTTTTGCGGGTTTTACCCATACCCACCCCATAACCGGTCAATGCGGAGATTACCCGTGTTGACTGGGTCGAGGGCGGTCGGATACCCACAGTCATGGGTTTGATTGCCATCCCTAAATGTGACAAAGGATCATCTTGTTTCACTAATTTTACCACATCCTCAAACAATTCACAAATAACACATGAAAACCAATTCTAGTCAGCACTTTAAAAGAAACCCCATTGTAGTCAGCCTTAATCAAAATCTATTTTTAACGCACTGAAACATTATCCATTGATATTTCTGTGCAAGCTTAAGCGCAATCATAAAGTTTCTTGTACCCATAAAATTTTGCACTCGGTATGTGATATACTAAATAAATAGTAATCAATCCTATCTAGTATCTACTTCCCATTTCTCCGATCTACCGTTGGGAAAGGATGACTTTATTTTTTCCACTTCGGGAGCAAAGATTACTTTTGTCTTTAACTTCAATTAAGACGAACATGTGGCATCATAAAACCACCCTCTAATGCACCGGAAACTCACCATACCAGTTTCTGAAAGAAGGGAACACGTGACCAAGCCGTCAACACTCCCACCCTATTCCCCCCATTTACCGCAACCCAATCTTTCTGCACGTTCCCACCTTCTCTACACTCTCTGTCCCAATTTCGTCCCTCTCCCACCTACTCTTAGCCGCCGGCATCCATGGCCGACAACGATGCCGACAGCCGGAAAGTCATTTACCTCCACGGTGACCTCGATTTGCACATTATTGAAGCTCGGAGCCTTCCTAACATGGATTTAACCTCCGAGCGCCTCCGCCGCTGCTTCTCTCCCTGCAACTTCTGCGCCGCTCCTCCACCTCCCGTCACCACCGCCGCCGACGGCGAAGCAAGGGACCACAAGCTGCACAAGCACCGCAATATCATCACCACAGACTCCTACGTCACCGTCGTCGTCCCCCAAGCCACGATCGCCCGCACCCACGTCGTCAAGAACTCCCAAAACCCTAGGTGGAACTACCGGTTCCATCTCCAGCTCGCGCATCCGTGCTCCGAGCTTGAGTTCCACGTCAAGGATGACGACGTTTTCGGGGCGCAGCTTGTTGGAAAGGCTGCAATTCCCGCCGAGAAGATCGCTTCGGGGGAGGTTCTCAGCGGCTGGTTCCCGATTGTCGGCCCCGGCGGCCAGACGCCAAAGCCGGACACTGCACTGAGGCTCGAGATGAAGTTCATTGCTGTTGACAAGAATCCGCGCTATCTCCATGGCATTGCCGGCGATCCTACTCACAGCGGCGTCACCGACACCTACTTCCCTTTGAGGAAAGGGAGCAAGGTGACATTGTACCAGGACGCTCACGTCCCCTGTGGCTCGTTGCCGGATATTCAACTTGACGGCAGCATGGTTTATAAGCAGCCACAGTGTTGGGAGGATCTTTGCTATGCCATATCAGAGGCTCACCATATGATTTACATTGTGGGATGGTCTGTGTTCCATAAGATTAAGCTGGTTAGAGAACCAACTCGGCCATTGCCACGAGGTGGGGATTTGACTCTTGGTGAGTTGCTCAAGTATAAGTCCGAGGAAGGAGTCAGAGTTCTGCTGCTGGTTTGGGATGACAAAACCTCTCATGATAAATTTGGCATCTCTACGGTGAGAACCCCTATTTAGTTTTGTTGATAAGCTCTTATAGTGAAGTTGTGAACTCAACTTTCCAATCTAAGTGGGTATTAGATATTACGCTGTCTCTTAAGATTCTGGTAGGATTCAGTGCAAAGCACAGCTCGATCTGGTGAATGGGTTCCTGTAAATTTAATTAACAATCTACAATTGCCATCCCGCTATTTGCTATCCGCTATTATTGGACGGCTGTGGTTATTATTCTTTCTGATTTGAAGACACTGGATTACAGGGTGGAGTGATGCAAACTCACGATGAAGAGACAAAGAAGTTTTTCAAGCATTCTTCAGTGATCTGTGTGTTATCACCTCGCTATGCCAGCAGTAAGCTTAGCATTTTGAAACAATCGGTAAGTTTGTATTATGCTGTTCATAGAAATTTATGAGCTGGTTTAATAATAAGAGTTGTGTGTATAGTTTAAGTTGAATCTAAAGAAGTGATCTTGGCCAAAGGAGAATGCGCTTGGTATTAAAGTTTACTACTTATCTGAATGACAATAAGGGGGTTTATGAACACATCAGACTAGCTTACGCTCTGACCCGAGTAGCATGGGGCACGTGGAATCCCATGTGAATCATCAAGGACCCCCTTGCAAAGCTAAATACTCCTGGGTTACCGATTGCGAAGTAGTACCGTGAGGGGAGGGTGAAAAGGGAGCCCATGTGATGGTCTACGTGATTGACTCTAGTGATCCTTTTCTTTATGTGAAGTTTGCATCTTGGTTCTTGTCCTAGGGAACTGCTGTTTTGGGGGTTTACTCTCATGAATGAAGACTTTGCTTCAATTCTGCTTCTGAATCTGCCAATGATTTTGTTCTCTACCCCTATTTCAGGTTGTTGGAACTGTCTTTACACATCATCAAAAATGCGTTCTTGTAGACACACAGGCTCCCGGTAATAACAGGAAGTTAACTGCATTTATAGGAGGACTTGATCTTTGTGATGGGCGGTATGACACCCCGGAGCACCGGCTGTTTCGGGATCTTGATTCCACCTTCAAGGATGATTTCCACAATCCTACATTTCCTGTGAGGATCGAGCAGTCAAATTCTTCTCTCGTTCTTTTTTATTATGAAGAATTCAGTTCTGCTGCTCATTATGGGAATCTCATTTCATTTATTTCTAGTGTATATGTGTAACGATGGACTGCCTGATTGCTCCAGTCTAATTATTTCCTTTTAAGGGATAGGCCATAGCATTAGAATGTTAGAGTAACCTCCCTTTGATTTCAACTATTTTGAAACTGTTTTGATTTTGACATCCGTTGTTTGTACTCAAGGCGGGGACCAAGGCTCCCAGGCAACCATGGCATGACTTGCATTCTAGAATTGACGGGCCTGCTGCATATGACCTTCTTATAAACTTTGAGCAGCGTTGGAGGAAAGCAACAAAGTGGAAAGAGTTTGGACTTCGTTTGAAAAAGGTTTCACATTGGAATGATGATGCTCTAATAAAGATAGAAAGGATCTCATGGATAGTAAGTCCTCCCTTGAGCGTAACGAAGGAAGGTGTGACAGTCGTTCCCTCGGATGATCCTATAGTACATGTCTCCGGTGAACAAGATCCTGAAAACTGGCATGTTCAGGTAAATATGAGCTGTTGGACCTCAAGTGGGTTTGTGTCTCTGATGTATTATTATCTAACTGGCTAATTATTTAGTTTCTTTCTTTTCAAGATTTTCCGTTCCATTGACTCTGGATCATTGAAGGGATTTCCGAAGACTGTTGGTAAATGTCAGGCACAGGTGCATAGAACTACCCATAAATGTTCCGTCCTTTGCTTTTTCGTTCCGAGTTCCGGATAAAATTACAGCTTCTGACAATGATTTACTGGTTCAATAATTTAGTGTTCTCCCGATCATCTTATCAGTGTATTTCTTCCTGTTTTGCTCGTTGCAGAATCTCACTTTTTCAAAAAATCTGGTGATAGATAGAAGCATTCAAACTGCATATATACAGGCAATCCGATCTGCACAACATTTTATTTACATTGAGAATCAGTATTTTCTTGGATCATCATATGGCTGGCCTTCATACCAAAATGCAGGTGAAGTTTCCATTATTCTTTACCTATTCGTTTTTATTTGTCCTTGTTTTTGGTCTTCGGATTCCTGTGTGCTTTAACTATGCTACAATGTTGGCTTCAGACAAGATACTTGGTCTTGATTCCTAGTTATCGTTATGTGCAGGAGCTGATAATCTAATACCAATGGAGCTGGCATTGAAGATTGCGGAGAAAATTAGAGCCAATGAGAGGTTTGCAGTGTATGTTGTTATGCCAATGTGGCCAGAAGGAGACCCAAAATCTGAAGTTGTGCAAGAAATTCTATTTTGGCAGGTGGGGCAGCCTTGGAATTATAGTTGGATTTTCCAAGAATATCATAACATGCCAATTGCGCAAATTATAACCTCTGAAAGTTTTTGCAACTCTACAGAGCCAGACCATTACCATGATGTACGGTGTAGTTGCAGAGGAACTCAAGTCTATGCAACTTCAGGGCGTACATCCTCAAGACTACCTCAATTTCTACTGCATCGGTAAGACCGAGGAAGCTCCCCCAGAAATGTTGAGTGGCAATGGTCAACAGGTAATGAAACCATAGTGATCTCTGCTGCTAACTGCCCGAGTGTGTTTTTTTTTTTTAACTCAACAGTAAGTGATTTGTTGTTCAGGTTTTAGTAGAAGTGGAAAAAAGTATGCTCGGTTGGGTTTTAGAAAAAAACATTATTGACGGCACGAGACATTTCAGTAGTAATAAAAAAGTAATTATGAGATGCAAGATAGTTCATTTAACAAAAAGATCAGTGGGTCTTAGAGTTGTGATTCACGTGGGCAATGACTTCTCAAGATTTTTATTCCTAAGGTGGCAAAAGTTGGAATGATACTTTAGTAGTGCATGGGGCCGTGAAACTTTAGTCACCCTCTACCTTCTGGTAACTCATTCAGGTCTCCGAATCTGCGAAACATCAGCGGTTCATGATTTATGTCCACGCCAAGGGCATGATAGTGGATGATGAGTATGTAATCATAGGATCAGCTAATATCAACCAGAGATCGATGGCCGGTACCAAGGACACAGAGACTGCCATGGGTGCATATCAGCCTCATTACGCTTGGGCAGTGAACAAGAGACATCCACGGGGCCAGGTTTGTGTTTCTTCCGAATTATGTCTAATCAGGTTTTTTCTTTTTTGGTCACTTGCCGTATGTTCTGGAAGAGGAGGGTGAAATTGTAAGGTGGTGACTAGTATCGGTGTGTTTCAGATCTACGGATATAGAATGTCTCTTTGGGCAGAGCATCTAGGCGGATTACAACAGACGTTCGAAGAGCCCGAGAGTTTGGACTGCGTGAAGGCAGTGAACAACATTGCTGAAGAGAACTGGAGGAATTTCTCGGATCCCGATTTCTTGAAATTGCAGGGGCATCTCCTCAAGTATCCCTACCAGGTTGATATTGATGGAGCAGTAAGCCCCCTCCCTGGAAGTGAGAACTTCCCTGATGTTGGTGGCAAAGTGCTTGGAGCTCATTCCATTAAGATCCCTGACATTCTAACGACCTGATCGTTTTCTAAAGTGTCAATACTATGAATGATTGTCTTGTTAGGTTTGTTTTGGTATGTGCTCGTCGGAGTCTGTATGTAAAATTCTACAGGGTTATTTTGTACATGGTTTATTGTTGTCCTTCGGGCAAGAATAAAACTTGTAATTGTTGTGTATAGGAGATGAGGGAGGACCTTTGTCTTTTATTCTTTTATCTTCAATGTATGAAGTAATGAACCAGTTGGATTGGATAGTGATTAAGGTCAAGAAAGGCAGACTGCACAGTATTGGAAATATTGATTTGAGTTCATCAATAGGAAGGGCAATGGATCCAGAACAGATTGGGTAGTATGGTGTGCAGGCTCACCTGCCTTGAGGTCTGCTACGGCTCTTAGTTAATTGGCACAAGATCTGACCTGCATGGGACGGGTTTTATCAGACCCTACTTTAACTCTGTACTTAGGTCACCCAATTCGTTGGGTTATAGCATGCGCTCCTGCTCTAGAGCGCTAAAAGCGCGGATTTGCAGCAATCCGTATAAAATTCGCGAACTATCTTTCTGCAGAGCGTGAATTTTCATTTTTGGAGCGCGATTTCTCAAATAGTTGTTGAGAGTGCAATTCTTAGAACCATTTTGAGAAGAGTAAGTGCAGGAGAAAAGAAGACGGCAGCAACAGAGAGGAGTTGGTGGTCACGGTCAACAATGCTCGAGAGAAAAAACTAAAAACAGAGCAAAAGAAAAGAGCATGCAAAACTAAAATTAAGTGAAGAATCGCAATAGTTATTCATGGGTCGATCGTCTATAGTTCAGATTCAAACCGGAAGAATCAAATTCGAAATATGAAATCAGATTTGAATTAAAGAATCAAGAGAACTAAGAGGGGCCCTGTCTCCTCAATGGCGTTAATCGACAGTTTGCAGCCACCTTCATTGCTTCTTTTCCCTATCAAAGTAGCTCTATCGTCTCTAATCCGAGCCGCATCCGTCGTTGATTACTTATCTATTGTGAGATCTAGCGGAAATAACACACCTGTCGGATTGCATGTGAGTGTTGAGTATCTGAAACGGAATCAAGAAAGAGAAAAATAGGAAAAAAGCTTCAACTGGGTTTCTAATTCTTCCTCTGCGTTGAGCAGCTACAGAGGGAAGTTTCAGATTAGTAAGAACTCGGGTAAAATACCTCGCGTACCACTTAAGTTTGAGAATTGGGGCAGACATACCACTTAAGTTTGAATAGGGCGTCGGGTGCCATTAAAGTCGCCAAAATGTGTATCCGTCTAGTTTTTCATCCAACCCAAAATTTTAATTACTTTTTGGTACCCAAAACTTTTGAAAACATCCAAAACTATATTTCAACAAGTTTTTATCAAATATAGAAATTAAAAAAAATTCTAAACATAATATTACTAAAATGACTAATCAAAATTGACAATAAAATAGATAAATTAGTAAAAATAATAAATAAATATCAAGAAGAAGAATAAATATATAGAATATAATAATAAATATTTAAAATCAATATTAGAAGATCTATTTAAATTGCTAATCCAATTAGAAGTACTATTAAAAATAATTAAAATAGAACCAAGTCGATCATAAATACATCAAGACCAAAGAAGGATAAATGGAATCGAGTCAGAAAGAATTAAACATATTCCAATAGTTGAAGAAAATTTAGAACGAAAAGAGAACGGAAGTAACCAAAATTCTAGTAATAAAATCTACAACATACCGTAACAAATCTAGAAAAGAAAATACCACTATAGAAAGAGAATTATAATTAGTAAATTTAATTAATATGGAACATCTAAAATATAATATTAGAAAATTACGAGGATATTTAACATAGAAAGTTATACAACACCAGAATGATGTACGAGAATTAAATATAACATCCTCAGATGATTTATATCGATATATAATTCATAGTATATATTTGCTTCAGCAAATTATTCGATTATTATAACATATAATGGTAATTAAAAATACTTATAATGATAATTGATACTACATTTCCTATTAAAAAATTGGTTTGGTATCAAAGTCTTCAAAAGAGGATTCCAACTAAATAGAATTCATAGGATATATTTGCTTTAGAGAATAATTCAATTATTAGAAAATATAATGATAATTGAAAATACTTATAATGATAGTTGATTCTAAATTTTCTATTCAAAAATTAATTTGGTATAAAGTCTTCAAAAGAGAATACCAACGAAATAATAAAAATTGATGTTTTTTATAAGTCAAAATGATTTTTTACAATAAGAAAAGTAGAAGGACCAATTAAGAAATTTAGAAAACAAAATATTCCAAGAATATTCTGTTAACTTTAACGGTCTGCACCTAACATTAAACTTAAGTGGTATCGGGTGCACAAATAATAGAGTTCAGTGGTATCCGACGCCCTATTCAAACTTAAGTGGTATGTCTGCCCCAATTCTCAAATTTAAGTGGTACCCAAGGTATTTTACCCTAAGAACTCTATTGAGGATGGTGGTGGGTGGGCAACAGATAAGGTAAATAAAAGATAAAGCACTTTCCATTCTCATTTTAATTAAATCTTATTATAACAATGAATTAATTTGTGAATCAATTGGCTAATTTGCTCACTTTCCATTTTTATTTTTACAAAATGTATGCTAAATATATTTTTATGTAGTTTGATATTTACTATATTGAAATTACAACAAAAATATAATAAAAATAATATAATAATAGTAATAACGCTCTTTTCACGCTCTCGAAATCAAGTTCTTGTAAGACAAACGATTTCACGCTCCCGCTCTCACTCCCGCTCCCGCTCCACGAACTGATTACCTAACTCTGTACCAACAAACAATTTAATTGGAATTCCAATGTTCACAAATAGGATAACAAATCATGCACCTACATTTTTTTTTAATATCTTTTTTATCTCCCTCTTCTAAAATTTTCATTTATAATTTATGAGTTTAGTATAGCATGAACTTAATTCCGAAAGATACCCCTTCATTCATGGGCTACTTGGTATAAAGGTAATTCTGTAAATTAGGGTTGCAATGGGTTGGGCGTGGCCGAATAGCGGGTTTCCAATCCCCGCCCGATAGTATATCCGAGCATACTAGACCCCGTCTGAAATAGATACATGGATAGTAAATTCTATACCATACCAGAACCCGACCAAGTACGGGGCACACCTGAAAAACACACGAATAGCGGAAAGGCACACCAAATATCATAACACAACTAAACCAAATACTCAATATAACGATTAACATTAATGAAACTTTAACAAGTAAACCAAGTTCAAACTTCAAAGTGCACAGATTGAGAATTCTAGAAACACTTCCAGCAAACTAGAACAAATTCAATAGGGAACAAATTTTTTTTTCCAATAAATGTCAGCAAAATTCTAGAAAGCTTCCAGGTGACTCCAATAGATTGCAGGTTATTTTTCTGTAATACACGTTTTTCAAAAAAAATTCTGAAAATACGCACATTTTATAAAAAATTCCCAATCTACATATGTTTGAGCATCACCATGGTCGATGGCAGCGGTAATTGCATCACTGTGGCCGAGAAACGCGGTGAAGGCCTGACATAAGGCTGAAACTTCAAACGAACGTAAATTTACGCTCGGTTATCCGATCATAGCGAATTTTTTTAAATTCCGCATAATTTTTCCAAATCTTTTTAGCAATAGGTGGTTTGGTCCCGCCTTCATCCCGGGAAAACGTCCTTTGCTATCCCGAACGAGCAATTTTTCGATTTCATCACACTTTGGAAGGCCATAACTTTGTACTCCGCAATCCAAACGTCATGAATTTTTTTTATTGCGTATAAATTTTGAAGGACTACAACTTTTACTAGGAAGAAAGTTTCAAAACAAGAAATATTTTTGGGATTTTGGGAATAACTTTGCCTTTACTTTTCGCAAATCTACATACATTATGAAATTATGTCTATGATAAAAGTTATAGTCCTTAAAAAGTTATGCGAAATCAATTTTTTTCCATAACATTCGGATTGAAGATCCCCATGTTTGTTAAACCACTGTGCCGGCCGGTTATACCAGGTTCAACCGGTGCTGGTCACAAAACCGGCTGGAATACCACCGGTATTAGGTGATGGTCAATTTTGGTCAAAACCCGAAATACCGGTGGTCCAACCAGAATTTTGGGGTTCCGGTACCTACCATTTGACGAGTCATTTTCAATTTTCATTCTCACTCGACCCTCCCCTTCCTCTCTGCCTTTTTCGCTTCCTCCTTGCAAACCCTAGGAAAAATCAATTTCATTCAGCGGCCTGATAGATTGGCGGCAACTTTAGCTCCATCGGGCTAGGATATGATGTGGTGTGCTTCCTCGCGGAGGATGGAGAGAAAGGGGTTGATGCGGTGGGCGGAGAAGATCTCCATGCCGTCGACACGACCAAGGTCATGCCAGAGGTCCCCGTTGGTGTACCTAAGCTCGCTAAGGAGGTAGAGGAGACTATGACGTTGAGGTGGGTTCCAAGGCGGCGGGAGAAGATTGGGTTGTGGTCTTGGGCGAGGGCATGAAGTTGCGTTGAATTGGGGGTTTCCAGAGGCTGACGGGGCCGAGGATCAGGAGCGTCGATGGTTCTTGGAGGATGTTTCTGACGGAGGAAGCAGCCGGAGGTTATGGATTTAAGTGTGCCGATTTTGCAGCTGGAAGCGCGGTTGAGGAGTCTAAAGGTGAGGGATTGGGACGTTCTGCAGGTGTTGTTGAAGGGAATTCTATTATTGAGGTTTATGACAAGGATAGGAAGAAGGGAAGAGCAGCTGGAATGGATATAAATTTTTTTGTTGATTTGGAAAAAGTAACCTGCTATTGACTATTGATTCTGCTCATCCTATTAGTGGTGCATAAACTTCAATTTCTTGGCCATTTGTGTTAAGATTCTATCTGTTGGGAGAATTACGATGTTACGATTAATGATTTTCAGTTTTTTCTATACATATTTGTTAATACCGGTATAAACAGGCGTATACGGGTATGTACCACGGTTGAACCATTTGACTTGTAAAACCGGCACACCGGCATAAACAGGTTTGACAACCTTGAAGAGCACAAAGTTATGGCCTTTCAAAGTTAAAAAAAAGTGAAAAATTGCTTGTTTGGGGTAACAAAGATGCTTTATTTAGGATGAAGGCAGGCCCAAACTGCCTTTGGCTTGCAAGATCTCAAAAATTATGCAGAATCAATTTTTTTCTGCTACGACCAGATAACCGAGCATAAAATTATGTTTGTTTGAAGTATCAACCTTATGTGAAGCCTTCACCGCATTTCACGGCCGCGGTGATCCCCGAACATGTATAGATTGGAAATTTTTCATAAAATGTGTGTATTTTGAGATTTTTTTTAGAAACGTGTGTATTATGGGAAACAAATCCCAGATTCTAATAGACTTGCAGCAGCAAAATTCCTTACAAAACAGAAGATTTCTAGTAGCAAAAGTCTAGCAGCAAAGTTCAAATCAATCCCTACAAAATTCTAGATAGATTCCAGCAGCACAATTCCCAACAAATAAGCAGATTTCGAGCAAAAATTTCAG